ATACTGGCTGTTTCATCTTCGGTCTTTGGCCATCCCAGATATGGGTTGCGGGTTGCAGGAAGGCCATCCCAGGCCCTGTTCCACCTCCTTTCCTTTCGCCCTTCCAGCTCCCTTCGGCTCCCTCCCTTCGGCTCCCGACGTGATGCGGCCGGCGCTGCGATCGAACTCCGCGCCGAGGCCCACGATCTGCACGGTGCCGAAAGGGTTTTTCAGACCAGGTCACTGAGGTCACTGGATGTCTTGATTTCTTAGATGTAGCTTGATGTCTTTGGAGGGGGAAGTCTAGGTCTCTAGGTCTGACATGTTAGGGCTGACATGCACAGGACATGTTCGGGGATTCGTACCACCTATTGGTGGAGTCCGTGTGGTTCAGCAACGGTCGCTCACGCAAATGACTTCTTACAGGTAACGCGGAGAGTCAATCCCGATCAGGAAAAGCTGACAAGCATCAATCAATATCATCAATGATCGGATCTAGGTGCCAGACACCAGTCCCATCTGCAACTAACTGGTTGGGATTTCGCTTATTGACCTGGGCGTTTCGGTCACCCAAGCATCTCTTCTTGAAAAACTTCCAGGCGCTTGTCCCCAAGTCTTGCATGGAGGCTGCACTGAGCCGCCAACCCGTTCCAGCACTGCTTCCTTCTCTGCCTCGTACTCCAGCCTTAGCATACGGTCATTATGTGACGCACTTGTTCTTGTATTCCCTCTGCGCGTCATTTTAGGTGATTCAAATCGCTTAAAGGTAAACAACATCTGCATCCACAAAGCCTGTTCAGCTGTTTCTCAAGCAAGGCCAAGTGCTTCAACCAGACCCATACACGCTCAAAAAAAGCACCGGCTACACTCAGTCAGCTTCGTCCAGCTCTCCCGAGATCTCGAATCTCGCATGAAAAACCGGGGCGCCAGGCTCAAGGAGTGAGCTGAAGTGCTTCACCTCAGCAAAGCAATTTGAGAAAGCAGCAGCTGAGCTGCTCTGCAAGGATTTCGGGATTCAAAGAGGCCAAGGAACATGAGGGCAAAAGTCATTCCCTGCCATCCGGATGTTGGTTTGAATGCTTCATTCCTGAATCCCTTCCAGGTCTTGGCAGTCCGGAACCCGGTTTAGACACTCACTAGGCCGCAGGCCTTTCTCAGGTGGAACGAATCTGGACTAGGATCGTTCTACACCACCTATACAAAGACCACCCCCGAAAGAAATTTAGTAGATCTCGACCCCCACTAAGAATGTCCTGGAAACCGTGCCACAGTCATCTATTTTGGGATCACTATTACATACCAGGGGCCCCACAAACCATCAAGAACCTGGTTTATCCCCTAGCAAAAACCATAGTTTGTGCATATGAAAACCTTTAGTTTTCATGGTTTGGTTCGGGCCCCTGGTATCTACGTATAAATCAGGTCCTTTCAGATCGGAGGCTCGAGATCACCGGCCTCTCTCGCCTCTCGGGGCGCCAGCCACGGAAACAACGACTCCAACGGCACACTGGGGCAGTGCAACGTAAGCATCCAATGCTCCTCTCCATTCCTCCATTCTGCGATTTCCAATGGTGAAAAAGGAATCCAGAGCTCCCAGAGCTCCCAGAGCTCGTATCGTTTCATGACCATGCAGTGGAGTGGGCACATGCTCTCCCGAGTCGCCCGAGTATGGAGCTGCATGCTCATGTTGAGCTTCACCATGTGCTCTCGGAGCATGACCCTACAAATGACTCAAGAAGTAATCAGGTAATTTGTGGGGCATGGGTGAGGATGAGCATGTTTTCGATGTGTCAAGAGTAGCATGTGCTGAGCATGTGGAATTCTGTCGCGGTGGTTTCTATGTCTTTCAAGTGCATTGGTGTGCGAGGGCCGTGCCCCTCGCATGGGACACTGATCACTGATGTATCATCGAAACTCCAGTTACGTACAGGGTTGGTGCAGGAGCCATCAAGAGCCACAAGCATGAATTTTCACTAACTCCAATGATATAAAGTGTGTCTATCCATGTCTATTCATGTCAATGTGGCTCTCTAATGTTTAAACCCAAATCGACGTCGCGGCCTGTGGTCACTCACTCACTCACTCACTCACTCTCTCTCTCTCTTTCTCTCACTCTCTCGCTCTCCCTCGCTCTCCCTCCTGCGTGGAGGCGGACCTGGCACGGCGAGTCTCGGAGTGACCCAGCAATGTCTGTGGTCATCTTGAACAAATTCGTGGCATGTCATCCCTCGATATCATCCATGGAAGTGGAACATCATCTGTTTGTGGACGGGAAACTGGAATTGTCCATTTCCATGATTGTTTCAGGAAGCGTTTTCCATTTCCATCTTAGGAATCCACTGGGTGCGGAGTGACTCACCTGTGGATTGCGAAGGTATGTTAACCCATTTGGACGTAGAGTCTTGACGTCCACTCCCCGAACTCAGCTGGTGTCTCAGAGGGACCGGCTGGTGAGTGGGGTGTGTTGGCCCCGTTCATCCTTTTCCACCCTCCAATAGGAAGGCTTTGGTTAGGAAGTTGGTTTGAAAGCGGTAGTGGCGTCCCCACCCTTAAGTTGCTTGAGGAGTAGATGAGTGGTGACGAAAGGAACAGTTTCTGGGGCAAGTCCATCAAAAATGATTGGTTGCGGGAACCCTTTCCCCTTTCGGAGATGCACCAAGCTCTGCAAGTTACCGGTTGGTGCACTTTTGAACTTTGCCAAGTTGTGCTTCTTCACACCCCTAACATCATAGGTCCACCAAAATAGCTGCAATCCATTGAAGAATCAGAATTGTTGCTGAATTCTCTAGCCAGCCAGCCAACCAACCAACCAACCCAGCAAAAGCTGTCTGGCCGTAACGCCGCCACCGCGCTCGGTCCCCCTGGGCACCCCCCGCACTCCCGCTTCAGCGGCCGTGCGCCAGCCGTAGGCGGTGAGCACGAAGCCGCCCCCCGAGTCGCCCCCCTGCGGAAGAGCCCCGAGTTCGGACGTCGGGTTCGCCGAGTTCGGTCGCTGGGGCACCGGTGCCGAACCAAGACCTCCCAAATTCAAGGTCTAAGGACCGGGTCTGAAGGCCAAGGTTTGGACTGGTGGTCGCTCGGAGCTGTTCCAACAAGTCGAAGGGTCCAACGGTCCAACAAGGCCAACAAACTGCAGATCAGGTTTTCCAGCTGCTAAGATCCAACGGCAGCTTTCTTGTCCCGTTGCAGTCTGGGCAATTCGTCGCAAAATGGCATCTGGGATGTAAAGTTGTCAATAAGTTCAGGTTTGTTATGAATGAAGTGTGTTACTCACTCCCTTGAGAGCTCTTGATTGACACCCATCTCCAGAAGAGAGACATGAATCCTCCAGCCGCTTCCTCATCCCCGCCTCCTCCTGCACGTCCTCCATTCCTGCGACATCAAGACATATCAAGATCTGCCGGAACGGCTTTCCGGCCCATCTGTACGACCGCAACTGTTCCCATCTCTTGAGCCACTATCAGTCTGCTCAGTAGGACCAGGCCCATCATCCAGGACATGCCCGAGCCAACTCACAAGTTGCGCCTTCGCCTGGTTTGGGCTGCTTGGGATGTGGCGCCAAGACGCCCTGGCCAGAAGCGGTGGCGCCATCCCGAACCGAACCCTCCGAAAACCCATCCCTCAGCCAGCCACCCGTCTCCTCGTCTCATCTCCTCTCTCGTCCCTGTCCCCTCTCCTTCGCGCCTTCGGCGCGGTGGAAATCCACGAGAAGCCGCCCAGCAAGGGAGGCGCGCCACCCCGCCCATCGAAGGAGACCGAGAAGGTCGCTTCTTTGGTGTAAACCTTTGGAGGTGAGATGTGAAACTGGAGGAAAGCAATGGGATCTGAAGGATGGCGCGTGTCGGCTGGGTGTGTTTTGGGTGGCATGTTCCCAACCAATTTGGGCTGGAAGGCTGGTCAGGCTGGGTATGGGGGGGCCGAATCGCGTGTGCCGCGTGAGCACGACAATCTCCAATGTTCGTAGGTTGGAGGCCATCGCTTTTAGGTTGGAGGCCATTAGCAAGAATTCTCTGTTACGCTTCTCGCTTGGCAGCGCGGAGCCGGAGGCCCTCCCTCTCTCTCTCTCTCACTCGGGAGCGACGACCTGAGCTCCAGGTGCCCAGGCGTGCGGAAAGAGCGGGTATCCGTGGAGATCCCGGTTGAGGCTGAAGGCCTCGGAGTTCGATGTCACACGCTTGCTTGGCGGCCGTCAACCAAGACCAAACCTTGCTTGGTTGATTGGTTGGTTGGGTGGTTGGGTGGTTGGGTTGGTTGTTGGTTTCCTGAGCTAATTCCTTCGAAACAAACCTGATGAAGTCTTGCACTTCTCAAATGAGAGATGATGACATCGCATCCCAAGCTTCTGCGAGAGATGTTCACATCTCAAGCTATGCGACCCCTGCATGCCTCGATCAATTCGGTGCAGCATACATCCAAGCGCAGCGCGTCACCAGGAATCTCACGGCCGTTCTTCATGTACCTTGGCCAACGCTCATTGTGACAATTGTGGCGTGATAGAAGCACACTCTACGTACTTCATTGAAATGGTAATGGGAAGACACCAACAAACGCCCGAGACTCAGGACATTAGACGGCTCCAGTTTCCCTTGCGGCAGGTGCAATCGAGTTTGTCAGTGAGCTCGTAGCTTGCACATCGCACACCTCAACAACCCTACTCTACCTCGCAAAACTCGCAAGTTGCGACCCCATAAGCCCCCAACTGAAACGTCGAGCACTCGGAGCCCCAACGTAATGGCACGCCGGTCCAGATCCAGGCAACAGGTGATGGCCTTGGTGGTTGGGATGAGTTGACGGCCTTCCCGGTAGCTTTCACTTGAGCAGAATCTGAACAGCAAGTAACACATGTCACATTCCAACACAAATAACGTTCACCTCCCAGAAGAAACTAGGTAGTGTTCGGATGTGTTTGGATAGGTGGTTACTTCTTACCATATGGCAGTGCTTGCTGCCTTCCTTGAGACACTCCAAAACTGCCATCCTACACAAAGCCTCACCAAGCCCTGCCATCCCTCCCATCCTTTTTATACCCTGGGAGGTAGCATGGTCTTTGCCCCTGGCCCGCCACGTGGTGGGTGCCTCGAGGAAACTCTCCGCGACTGCGTGAAGTTGTTTCGAAGCTCACGCCGCTGCGTGGTGGTCTTCCCGCCCGGCGGGCGCGGCGTCAGAAAGGCATCCTCGATCCACTCCTCGCCACGCGTACATCGTGAGGGCATGGATACCATCAGTCTGGGAGAGGCCTGGTCAACACATGGTATTCCGCCTCCTGGTACCAAACAGGTTTTGACAGGTTTCCAGAGGCTGAAGCTGAGGACACGATTTAAGATCTCCAAGATTCTGGGAGGTCTTCCCAGCCAACCTTCTTGGCTTCGTCGATGATCTCTGCAACCTCCCGGATGCCTGAACCATCCTCACTCATTGATGTACACGTCACGATCTTCCAAACAGTCTGGCCTGGGGCATGCCAAGGCGCTGCCGCTATCTGAATTCTGGTGCTACCTTCTCCAAGAACAATAACCATACGTGAACCTAACACTTGTGTAAAAACACCACCTAGATCACCGGCTGCTGCTGTCAGGCGGTTCCTTTGCGCGTGCTGGGGGACATGTGGCTTCTGCAATTCTGTGGCCGTCCAGTTTCACGCACTGCCTTTTGGACCCCAGTTTTCAAGTGTCAAACCGAAATCTATCTCTCAAGTCTAGGCATGTCCCAAGCAAACGAACCTGCGTTCGGGATCGGATCATCGGTTCTGATGCCTCATATGAAGACGTTCAAAATCGAATCAAGTGGTACACAAAGCGAAGGTGTCTAACATTCAGGCCAGGCTGCTCCCTCATCTTCCCTTAATTTGATGTTTGGAGACCATCTTCCATGTTGATTCGCTGTGTCAAAGGGCCAACATTTCTTGAACTTGAAATTCGGAACTCCGCCTTACTGCACGCCAGAAATGGTTCTATTTGAGTTACTGTAGCTCTTTAGTCTTGATGGTGTTCTCATTGGTTGGTGGTGTGCTATATTTAGAGAGACCTGTGCCAAACAGTTTCCTCCACCCGAGCTAGGGAACGCAAAGACATGCAATGACGCGCACGGTGCAATGCGTTTGTTGGCTATTGTGCTCCAAGAACATCACACCCATCTCCAAATGTTGCTCTCCCATGCTGGGGGCGGCTCCATCCGTTCTCCATGTGCTCATTTCGAGTGGCCCATCTCCTTCAGCCGTGCACCCACTTGCTCGGCGAAGCGCTCCACATCAGCCGGGCTGGACGCCAGGTCTGTCTTGGTGAGGATTACCACCTTGGAGGTGGTCAAAAGACACCCACGGCCCCTCGACCAAGAAAGAGACCAATTAGTACGAAGAATTCCGGGCGACTTCGAACGAAGCACATGGAATCTCATCGTGGTCTGTCTCTTTCGCACGGTTGGTAGCCACATGGCTACCCTTGCACCATTCAACCAAACAGCCTGCTCAGCGCAATCCCACCGGCCGCCCAATAAACAAGAAGCATAAAAGAAGTTTTCCCTTCCTCACCTACCAAAGGGCGCCACGTAACGAGCCACGTAACGAAAGGGCGCGATCTGGCGGCGAACCCTTTCTTTCTCACACTTTTGAAAGATCTCCACCAGCTGCTCATCACCTGCGCGTGAATCGAAGTTCATTGATGGGTTTGAGCAGGCAGCGGCTGCACATGACATTAATGTTCCATCCTTGGAATGCTTTACTCCCAGCAAAAGTGATGAAAGCCATGATGCAACGCAGGTGTTGCAGTCGGCTATCGCTATCGTTAGTGCAAGGGGGAATCTTAAAAAACTCTTCGCTTGGCAGTGTGGTTTCTCGTGGACCACCACTCTGCCTTGAACGCGGCCTTCCCCTGCACCCACAAGCTCCTACCCAGCAAACCAAATTACTATACACCGTTCTGAAAGTTTCTGGCGCAACATAGGGTTCCCGGGAGAGTTTCCAGATGCGCCATCAATGTATTTTTCCTCGCTAGTTTGCACCTGTAGATGGCGCATTTATAGGGAGAGGGGGGTGCAAAAATGCAAGCACAAGAAAAAATAAGCTTGCAAAAACAGATGAAAAATCCACGCTATAGATGGCACAATGCCCATCGGTCCAAACCCATTCAAAATCATTCAAAGCAGTTCAAACCCCACTCAAACCCATCGGCGCCCATCCTACTCTGTCTTTTACTTTTCCTCTTTCTCTTTCTCTTTCTCTCGCCCTCTCTGCGCAAAAAGATTTTCAGCCAGCTCTGCTTTCTAACTGGAGTATATAGATGGAGCGCGCCGTCAGGGGTCTCCGAGTACGAGGTGTTTAAGCCTAAATCTCGTCCTTTTTATACTGTCGGGATGCCTACTGATGGCGCAACTCTACTGTGGTACTCTGGTGCTCGTAGGTGGCACTATTATTTGTTTAACCCATCTACTTTCTGGACGGAGTATATATAATATATAGTTATGTTATATGTAACATAATGCCGTACATATCCCAACCTCTGCATCAGTTCCCCTCGCCACCACTGTCGGTCGGTCACGTCGGCGGAAGACCGGCAAGCACACCATCCTCACCATCTCCTTCGGCTGAACCATGGAAACACAGGCACCTGGTCCTCAAGCATCGCCAAACACATGGATGTTGAAGGAAAAAAACCTTGGCCCATCCTGGATAGCTCATCCAGGCGTGGGCGAATCATGCAGCTTTTTGGGGCACCTGACAGCACCACATCCAGGGCCCCAAAAGGTTCTTGATGAGCAATTGCCTGCACTGGCTGGTGCAAAGCAACAGCAGCCAGTGCAAGCGCAACATGGCGTTTGCATGGAACACCAATGTCCTTTTTCAGGTGAAATGAGAGAGGACAATTCATGTTCAATGCTGCGGCCCAGCATCTGTCCACAACCAGAGAGATTATGGAACACAGTGTAAACGACAATTATTCTCATGTTTTCTTCCGAATGCCCCCAGCCGGTCTCCCATCGGCAAGGTTCCCTTACCTGGCTCGACAGGGCTGCCCCTGGGCGCCTTCGGAGAGTTGTCCCTGCTGCTCGCAGCTCACCAGGTGGCAAACCATACCTGATGGATGAAACGACATGCTTTGATCGCAGTCCTGCACCCGATGCTGCCTGCAGGATGGACTGTGGGAAGCGTTGCATATATACAATTTTTTAAAAATATATATACAAATACTCACACCCATTGTTCTCACCCGCGCATGCAGTCATGTGTCAGAAATTTAAAAGGAACGTTATGATTTATATGAGAAAGGCAAAATGTCGACCCTGCCAGAACCAGCACGGACGCACGCCCCTGTATCCTGCCAAACCAGGACCCTGGGCCCAAGTAATTAAGTTTTTCTCGTTATGACACAGGAAATTAATTTTCTCCCCACACTGGGTTAGACCTTCGTTGATGTACAGTCGCGCTGTCCGAGCTGCTGCCCACCGCTCCAAAACCAAAATCCTATCTAAAGACCAAGCGACCCAAGGCCCGGCGTTCGCTCACAAAGCCCTGCAGCAGGGGAGCCCAGGTTTGGAGCCGCGCAGCTCTCAAAGAGTAGTCCACCGTGCCTAGGCCAAAGCAGTCCACTAGGCAGCAGCCCTTGCCAGCGGCGATCACCTCTGCTTCGATGGACTGGGGCGAGATGGAGGACCTCGGCTTTGAGGTAGAACGTGGCAGGTTACCGTCAAGCCTCAAGGCCAAGGAGGTGGTTGAAACAAATACCTGCTTGAAGCCCAAAACGGTATAAAGACGGCATTGCTACCAATGGACGTCTTAATTTAACTTTATTTTTTCTCTCTCTGTCTCTCTCTCTCTCTCTCTCTCTCTCTCCAAGGTCCAACGTTCATACACCCAATATAATATATAACTGAGCCGGACGCGCCAGCCATCCAACACCTTTATTCTTGCAAAACTGGTACCAAACTAGACGACGAGTGGCCCGAAAGCATTTTTCACCACGTGTGAAGTTAGAATGCGAGTTGTGTGTTAAGTGTTCACTGTGATGTGCTAAGTCTAGTGCGTTGGGTCAGTGTGTGGGTCTCTGTGTGTGTGTCTATGTGTGTATCTATGTCTGTGTGTGTATGTGTCTCTCTCTGCATGTCTCTCTCTGTATGTGTGTCTCTCTGGCGCGCAGGAACACCTTTTTTCTGCAAGTTCTTGACCTCTCGCAAGCCACCGACATCTGGGTAGCGCTGCGTCCACTCCTCAAACAACTTTCGCAGAACAAACAAAGTGAGAAGACCGGTGAGTGGACCAGGTTGAGAGGCCAGACAGTAAGCTTGAACCTCGACATATAACGCCAGGTTACGCATTGCCTCGAACTCCGCATGGGGCGTGTAGATCGCAGCGGCTTGGGCGCAGCAGCCTGACCTGGAAGAGGGATCTCACGGATACGGCTCTTAGTGGAACAATCCATGGCGCAGGAAGAAACACGCGCTTGCAGAATCGCGGAAGTGCTCGGGCAATGGCACGCTGAACTCTAGCTGAAGCGACATCAATCGCACTGTCAATTGCAAGATCGATGGGTTGCAGCGCTTTCCAACCGGCCCATTGAAAAGCAAACGAGGTCCTGACAAAAGATCGAAGAAACAAGGCTTTAGGCTGGCTGTCATTCAGCTGCGACTCATGCGACCAACTATCGGCCAATAAATTCAGGGAGTAACTCAAACGGGACTCAAACGGATATTCTGAACCGACTGTGGCAACTTGAAATCTGCGGAGCTGCTCCCCGCACCAACTGGCTGCAACTCAGCCAAGGATTCTCAACGTCCTCGCTTATTCTCAGGGCAACGCGCCCCGATGTGCTTTGGGCTGCCACACACCCTGCCGGAGTTGGACGGCAGCGCACAGCGATGTTCGCCGGCAAAACACCGCCGTTCCCGCTGGTGGGGACACTCCCACAAACGGGCGCCATCTCTCGCCCAGGACTGCCTGCTGGGCGAGGCACAGGTGGAGTAGCAACTGGCACACTCAAGGGGACCACCCAGCGCGAGTCCCGCTCGATGGGCCCACTCACCACGTCCAGCTCGGTCCAGGGTCTCCATGCAGGCGCTTACCTTCCGGCATGCGCAACACCAGTCCTTCAGCCCGACAAATTCACTTCATCAAGAGGTCATACGAGACGGACATGTAGCTAGTAGAAGACGAGGTCAATGTCTCAACATCACTTGGTTGAGGGTCCAACTTGGAAGAACCGGCCATACCCAAAGCCAGGAAGTACAACTTGAGCTGGCTCAAATAGGTATACCAGGTCCGCTGCGCGGACGAATCCTGCTCATCCGGGTCGCTTAGACTGCGTGGCAATGGACCGCGCCTGCCAAACATCCATGACCTCCAAGGAACGCTTCTGCAGGGCCCTCTGCGCCTTAGTCCGCAAACGGTCCTCTGCAGGGAAAACCAAACGGTAGCGTGTCCAGAAAAGCTCACGAATACCCGCATGGGCGGCAAGCAGACACTCATCCTCATCCAAAGCCAGCGGCGTAGGGGAGGTCCCGTCCCGCTGTTGCTCAGCGGCCACGGTAGCCGTCCAACAATGGCGAAGCCGGGACAACTGAAGTCGGCGGTTGTCCAAATCTCGAATGGAGGTGATGAATGTGGACTCCAACTCATCAACTTTGGTGACAAAAAGTGGCGGAACTCAGTCAAATTGGTGAGCCCAAGAGACAAGATCTGGTCGCGAACTGCCTCGGCCAACTGGAACCGGGCGCACAGGTCCGTGAAATAAGATGGCTTGGGGGTTCGCCATGGCAATAGGAACTGGGGTGACCACAATCGAAATGCTTGAGCCGTTTGGATACACTGCTATCGGGATGAGAGGGCTATATATCGACAAAAATCCACCAACACCCGGATCGCGGCAACTCGGCCCTATAGCCCTCTCGCGCGTTGTCCATTTGCACAGAATCGACCTCGTTTAAAATCAACGTGAAGAAGGCAATGAACACGCCTGAAACGACAGAGAGCTCCCACGAGCGCACCTTCTCGAAAAGGCGCTGCGCACCTGCAGCTTGGCTACACCAACGGAGCCCCTATACTCGGCAGTGGCCTCAGCGAGCGTAGGCTGGCACTGGCAACATGCGCTCGAGCAGGCTGCGCACTCTGAGGTAATCTCTGGGAGAGTATAGGCTCACAGAACGTGATGTTTTGAATCAGCAGCCGATCCTGTTTGAGAAAGGCCCCCAATAGCTCCGTGCCCCTGAGAACGGCATGTAGCAAACCAGGTTTTGGCAGCGGCCATTCCAGCAATCCAACTGCGGAACGTCCCCAGAGGGCAACAGCCGGGCCAGGGCGTGGAACTCACGCTGGAGGAGCACCGCCATGTCAGCAACAGATCGCAAAGGCTGCAACAGCTCGCAAAGGTTTGAGCTAAAACAAGCTGGTAACTTGATTGAGTTGATCTCATCAAACCCTGCGTTGGGCCACCCCGCCGACTCAGGGGCTGCACGCGGACAACGAAAAGCATCAACCCACGCAGGCAACACCCTTTCAAAAGACGCTCAAAAGACGCCAACAGGGCTGGAATGCGGACCGTATGCCAGACAGTTGCAACCATATTAGCATCTGCATCGGGCACTAAACCTCAACGGACTCATCAAAAACTGAGCAACTGCGCCCACGAGGTCATTTCGCCCTCCCGTACCGGGGCACGACCCGAAACATGCCCGAACACAGGGGGAGAGACCTGCAATCAACTGGCCCTCAAACAAATTCAGCCATGAACTGACAGGAAACGCGAGATCACGACGTAACCGCGAATGACTAGCAAAGCTCTGATTTTGCATCGGGCACACTGGCTAAATGGCGCTAGCGACAAACGTAAAAGAAGCACCTGCCACAATCCAAGGCTGACACGCGCTTCACCGACGAATTTCAATCCGTGAGGCTCGTAAAAAACTGCTGGCGCCACGGGCGCCCGTCACTCCTCAACCGAGGTTACCCGCAAAAAAGCCCTTCTTGGCAGTGGACGACTGCTTCCACCGACAGGCTGACCGCATGCACTCGCCCGATGGATGGAGCGCCTTGAGTGAACTTGATGAGAAAGTTCCCCGCCTGAACACGGATGCCCTGCTCCTGGAACTGGGAGAACAGCGAGGGTCGCTCAAACTCAACCTCCTCAGCCGGCCACCCCACGCGCATGGACCTGTCCGTGAGGCCCGGCGCCACGTCGTCCCACTGGTTGGCGCCATGGTCGTAGAGCAGAACACGAAGACATAGCCTCATCTCACGGCGCAGAACGGTGGCCTGCAGCAACTTCTGCCGAAAATACCGATGCGGCATTTTGTTCCCGCCGGGCTCAGAGACGTCCCAACCAGTTGCCAATCGCACAGGTCTCAGCCCCAGGCCACAGCCACCTGCCGCCATGATTTGGCAGACACCAAGGAGAGTTCGGCAGGCGTGAGCAAATCACTCACGCACTGCAGCACCTTGGTGCGGGAGACAGGCCCGGAGATCTCCTGCCAAGCGCTGACACGAAAACAAGCTGTAGAATGAGCTGGCGGCAGAGCCAGGATCTCGGCCAAAAAGACGCCACCAAAGTCAAACTGCTCCCATACCCCTCGCGGGGCGTCGACCAATGGAAACCGGCGCGATGCCCCTTCTGCTTGCCACGCAAACACTCGAAGTAGAGGGTCTTGTCAGTGGCACGCAGCAGCCTCGATCTCTGAAGGTGCGTCCATCGAACACACCCCAGAGCCATAGCCCACGGGCCAAACAGGGCGAGCCACTCTGGATCCCGGTGCTCGATGGCTGCCTGCTCCAACCGTCTTCCCTATGCCCGTCCAGACGCGCTTTGCCCCTTCCAGGCTCTTGCCAGCCTTGCAGTTCTTGGTGCGGAACCTCCATATCAAAGGTGCCCTCACGTTGGCGATCCAGATGTGTGCTGCTTCCAAGTCAGCCCTGGGTATTGGCGCCAAACCCCTGTCGCCCAGCCGACGATGTTGGCTCGCTGGAGCCCGTGGAGGAGGGTGGAAAGCTGGGCGCAAGACGGACGCACCGTCGGCTTCCCCAACGCCTTGAGCGAAGGTGAAGGAGCCCCACCATGCTGGGCAATCACCACTCGAGCCCTCGCCCACTCTGGCGCGGCACTCGAGCCATGCATGGGCAACTGCCAAACCACCCTCTCCAACTGCCTCGGCGAAGTCCAGGAAGTAGAAGGCGAAATCGGCGTCAGCCTGGAGCCCATCACGCTCCCTGAAACTCTCCGCCGCCATGGGCAGAAAAGGACCCCTGGCAACTCCAGGAAAAAAGAAATTCACCTGAAGCCGTTTTGGGTCACTTGAGCATACGTGGCGGCGGCGGCACATGTACATGCAGCATGCCACAACTCAAGCGAGATCAACTGACATGAATGATGATGTGTCCACCACACCTGCCCTAAGACACTACAATATATATATATATAGATAAGTCTGTGGAGCAACTACAAAGAAGGCATCATGGACAAAATGAAACCAAACATGGAAATGGGCGCGACATGAACGAAACACCACATCAGCCTCCTGGGCGGAAGCCAAGGGAGTCCACTCCTGTGAACAGGATTCGAATGTTCCGAAGCTGCAAGCACTAGACGACTATTGCAAAGCCTGCGGCGTCATCAGGCAAGACTGGGTCGCCGACAGTGAAT